TACGGTCCGTCATATTAATTATTAGATATAGTACCAGGGTACATTCCGGCAGTACCCTGGGGGACATATAGACTCTCTCAGCGCAAGTTGTAACTAGACTAGAGCTGGCCTGGCAGCACTGTCAGTGTCTTATCTGCCCTTTTCTAGTTAGACTTAGCACGACAAGGGTACGGTACAAACAGTATTAGCACGAATATATATATATATATATATATTATATATATACATAACAACTACGCTCATTTTCTCTTGATAAAGTACATGTTGCATGTCATGTATCACACATATGACATATGTATGTAGAGGTTGTCTGTGGAAAAACAGAAGCACAATATGGAACGTGTGGGTGTGATGTTTAGTTTGTGGTGCTTTATATGTTAACACCTAGTTGTAATTGCAGGGTTTACGAGCTTGCAGGCGTCCGTACATCCGCTGCTGCTGCAGTCACTGCTGTGAGAAACATGGCGTCTGCTGCTAACACCGGCCGGCCGACCAATCGTCTCGCCCAAGAGAAGTCCCCCTACCTCCTACAACATGCGTCCAATCCTGTCGACTGGTACATCTCATGTTTGACTACATGAATACGTTAATGGCTTCATTTATGGTGTGTAATTGCTGTAGCAGTGAATGAATGTTTCATACACTGTGTTACAATGGTTTTGATTTCTATGAGCAGGTATCCGTGGGGAGCCGAGGCGCATGAGAAGGCCAGGCGGGAGAACAAGCCAATCTTCCTGTCGGTCGGCTACTCTACATGCCACTGGTGTCACGTGATGGAGCGAGAATCGTTCGAGGACGCTGACATCGGCGCCATGATGAGCGACAAGTTTGTCTGCATTAAGGTGGATCGCGAGGAGAGACCGGACATCGATCGCATGTACATGACCTTCATACAGGTGTGTGCATAGGTACGTGCGTGCGTGCGTGCGTGCGTGCGTGCGTGCGTGCGTGCGTGCGTGCGTGCGTGCGTGTGTGCGTGCATAGGTGCATGTGTGCATGTGTGTGCGTGCGTGCATAGGTGCGTGTGTAGGTGCCTGCGCACGTGCGTGTGTGCGTGCGTGCGTATTTGTGTGCGTGGGTGCGTGTGTGCGTGCATGCTTGGGTGCTTGTGTAGGTGGTGTAGTTTATATATATGATATATATTTCTATACGTGTCTAGTAATGGGTTTCCAGTACTGTCGTTTGTTCATTGAGGTTATTAACGTACGTTCTGTGCTTATGACTCATCACTAGGCTACGTCAGGGCATGGTGGATGGCCGATGAGTGTCTGGTTGACCCCTGACCTCAAACCTATTGTTGGAGGCACGTATTATCCACCGAACGATCGCTACTTTGGCCAGCCAGGTTTCAAGACGATCCTTCAGCGAGTTTCGTCCATGGTAGGAGCATCACCTCATTATATCAATAGATATACAGATGTTTATCATGCATTAGCTATGTATTATGTAACAGTATGTGTTTGGTTACAAGTTTGGTTAGTGGGTAATATAGAATGTATTGGCTATGTTAGTGTGAATAATTGTCAAGTTCTTTGTTGATAATTATTAGCTCATCTGACATAGTCAGATGCAGCTTGTAGAATCGCACGATCGTCCGTCCGTCCGAGCGTCCGTCAACAGTTGGGCACAAAGCACCGCAGAGGTTACGAAGATCAGGAAAAGTCACTGCATTTATGCATGACCAGCGCAAGAGAACGTTAGCAAGAGCAAAAAAAGTCGATGAAGGCCAAACTTAAAAGAATGTCAGTTTTCTAGATTTAGGTGGCTAGAAAAATCTCATGAACTCAATCAATCTAACCAACAATACTGACTTAAGAAAATTTCCCTGACCGCCTTCTGTATAGCCCAATTGTCCATCAATGCATTGTGTTTTACCCAACTAGGTTCCTGTAGTCCCCTCTCAGCATTGTGTTTATCAACAGTTTCCTGTATTTTCCTTCATCAAAACAATTGGGGGTTTTACCACCAGGTCCCTGTAGTTCCCGCCTCATCAGCATTGGTGTTTTACCACCAGTTCCTGTATGTGCCCTCTCATCACATTGTGTTTACCCCACCTGTTCCTGTAATGTGTCCCTGCTTCAATCAGCAAATTGTGTTTTAACCCAACCAGGTTCCTATGTGCCTCCTCATCACATTGTGTTTTACCACCAAGGTTTCTGGGGTATGTGGCCCCTCTATCAGCGCTGAGGCGCGTCGTGGAGTGCTACGCTATGCCAGCTGAAACCTGAGTCGAACAAACGAACCGCGTAACGCTTCCAACATTATCGATTGCGTCTGCGCGATTCAAACGCAGCAATGCCGACGCACTGCTAATCAGCAACCATGAAATGTGAAAACCGCGCGCTTGACCAAACTAGAGGGTCAAGTTGAGAATACGGGTTAGGGTGTGGGGAGCTTAGAGTTAGGGTCTGTGTTTGGGTGAGTAGCGAAGGCAGATTAAGGTCGTTTGTGTGAGATAGAGGGAAGGCAGAAAAAGTTAGGTCGTGTGGGAGTGACGAGAAGCAGAGTCTAGGAGTCGTGTGTGTGAGTGAGAGATAGGCAGAAGTTTTTTTAGGGTCGTGTGTTGTGATGAGAGTGAAGACAGAGTTAAGGGTCGTGTTGTGAGGTGAGAGTTAGGCGTGGCGTAGTGAATATAGCGGTCGTGTTTGTAGGTAAAGTTAAGGGTCTGTTGTTGAGTGAAGTTAGGTCGTGTGTGTGAGTGAGAGTTAGGGTCGTGTGTGTGAAGTAGATAGGTCCTGTGTGTGAGGTAAGAAAGTTTAGGGTCTGTGTGTGAGGTGAGATAGTGTCTTCACTGGTCCATGTGTGGGAAGTAGAGGAAAAAAGTTATAAGTAACGCAAATCAATCATGAACAATAAATTCATTGGCAGCAATATCACCAAGCAATTGCCAAGCAACGCTGAGCTTTGAACTTCAATAAAATGGAAAAGCCGGATGAAATATTCAGAAAGCCAGGTAGGAAGAAGGTCCTCAATAATAACTACGAATCTAAATAAGCTGTAATGTTGATAAGTCTCTAGTCTCAAGTCCCTGGCCACACCTGTAATCATATCGGCTATCAATGGAATCAAGTCTCTCCCTGTGATGCAGTGCATAGCAAGTCCCTCGTAATGCCCACGCAGGATAAACACCTACTCGTCCTGTCTGCTGTGACAATACAACTTCCTGGTCCTGTCTCTGGGACATAACTACTGGTCCGGTCTGTGTGACTAGATAATCTAATTGATAAACTAGGATCCATGTTGACTGAGATCTGAACAGCTGACCCAGAGATAGCCAGAACTGCTCCTAAACATCCGTTACTCGCGCACTACAACATAGAAGATCACGCAGTCCGCCCTCAGTAACTCCCATTTGCAAAGATGAAAAATTAGTCGTGCAAGGGGGAATGCTGGTGGGAGGATCTACTGTCATCATACTCTATAGACGTAAGTCACACTATGAATGTAACCCACACTACATCACGACACACACACACACACCACAACACAGCCCACCACCTCTCCTTACACCACCACAACACCCAGCCACCACACACACACACATTATATATACACTACAGCACGAGCCACACACACTACACATACACACACACACACACACACACACCACAACACACCCATCTTCACAGGTATTTATAATACACACACAAGCAACACACACAACATCACACATCGGGAATCAGGCTTGGCGGGAGGATCTAAAGCTGTCATCTATCTAAAATAATATAATTCCACCTAGAAGAAAATTTACCACGTACACTACAAACACACACACGAAATCTCAGCAG